CGGGACGGAGCGGCCGGCCGGCCGCCGCAGAGCAGGTACCAGCCCGCGGCCTCGCCGCCGCGACGTTGTTTTCCCTAGCGTGAGCGTTTCCTCCTGTTGCACAGCTAGACGTTGAAAAACAACCAGGCTTTAAAGCTCATCGCCTTAGTGTCTTCCCCCCTCCAGAGGATAATAAGCTGCTTTTAATATTTGACATGTTTATTAACAGATGCAGTTGTGACAGCTGATGACTTCATATGCCAGTTACCACTGAAATGTTAGTAATAACTTGGAATTAACAGTCGTAAATAAAAGAGACTACAAAGAAAACGAGATGTTGTGTCACTCTGCAGTAATTTACTGAGACCCTGTTGGCTCTGGATGCAACGCTGGAAGGTCCTTTGTGGAGCTCCAGTCCGGGTTTTGCAACAGTCACAATATTTTGGCTGGATATTGTCTTAGGAGGTGGTACTAGTGGGGTGGAATTCCCTCATGCAGGAGTTTGCACTAGATGCCTTTACAAAGCTGGATACTCTGGTAATAATAATAATAATAAACCCTACTCGCTGAATGGGGATGGAGTCTACGGCATTGAAACCAGGATTTATTAACGTGCAAATTGCTCTGATATGATCACATACTTTCTGCTTTGCATGCACAGGGAGCAGCGTGGGCTGATGGAGTATGGACTAGCCTGGGCGATCTTTACGAGCTGAAATCCTGCACATCACAGAAGGGTTTGTTTCTCTGCGCAAAACCTGGGGAGCTGTTAGAAACCTGCCTTAGGAAACAAGTGAACCACATCCCCAGACCCAAACGCACCCGACTTCTCCATGAGCTCGCCATGAATGCATTTTTCATTTTTTTTGACAGAAACGTGCACGTAACTTTTCTCTGGAGGAGCTGAGGATTTTTGTAGTTGGTCTTGTAGTATTTTAAAGCTGAGAAACCAGTAGAGTCTTTTCAGCAGTGATGAGTGAGTGACAAGTCAGAGGTAAGGGTTTCCGAACGCATGTTTGCTTAGAGGAAGCTTTTGCACGGCGGGCTGCGAGCGAGGCGGGCGAGGGCGGTCAGCC